TACTGTATCCTTTGATGCACAAAAGTTTTAAATTTTGAGGTAGTCCAATCTATGTAGTTTTACTTTTGTTGCCTGTGCTTTTGGTGTCATATCCAAGAAATCACTGCCAAACCTAATGTCATGAAGCTTTTGCTCAAAGTTTTCCTCTAAGAAAATAGTTTTAGGTCATCTATTTAGGGTTTTTGATTCATTTTGAGTTAATTGTTGTATATGATGTAAAGTAAGGGTCTAACTTAATTCTTTTGTGTGTGAATATCTACTGTTCCCAAAATCACCTTGACTATGTAACTTTAACTTTTAAAATTTTTATTTAAAACATTTTTATTGAAGTATTTTGATTTTACAACATTCTGTTAGTTTCAGGTGCACAGCAAAGTGATTCAGTTGTGGCGCGGCGTTGGTGGTATAGTGGTTAGCATAGCTGCCTTCCAAAGTGATTCAGTTGTACATATATATACACTATACAACTTTCAAATGTATGTTTGCATTTGAAATCACTGATAATACTGATGTTGTCTTTCTTTTTTTTCCTGTATATTTTTTCCTCTAATAAATTTTATTTGGTCGTCTTTTTAAATGTCTTATACAGGGCCCTGAAAATCATCCCTACTCCCTACCAGAAGTATCTGGTTATGAATAGAACAAATTAATTTATATTTTAAGATTCTTTTAAAGTGTTCCATATGTCTTATGTTATATTCTATTTTTGCCACTTCTCTACTTAATTACTAAGAAAACTGATCACAAGATAGTGACCTCTCCTTATCCTCATGGCTTATAGTTTCAAAAACAGGCAGAAAAAATAATCCGTCCTGGGACAGCCTTAATGATTAACTCTGTTAGGCTAAAGTGTTAGACATGGACCGGAAGGCAGAAGTCACGTCTTGATTATTTTTTATTTCCCAAAGAACTTAACACCACAATATTATACTCAATAAAGGAACAAAGTCCACACTGCAATATCTAATTTAAATGGAGTTAGAAATTTGTTAGCTTCCTTCAGTCTACTCAGCCCTGCCTAAATCAGATTCTCCTTAATATCCATTCAGCAATGAAGCTGGAAGCATTCTGCCTCTATTGGAAAGGGCCAGGTAAAGCCAAAGAAAGTACTTCCTTAAAAATTTGCCATCTTTCTGGCTCACACTTTCGGGGAGGGTTAGGAAAATTAAATATTTGGCCTAAAAGCTTTCCTTCCAAATCCTGAATGCTCCTAAACTGCACATTAAGAAAAAAAAAGTAAACATGTTAAGAATACATTTAAGTAGGAAAAAAAAGAATATATTTAAGTGGGAACAAGAGTATCAATAGAAATACAAAGGGAGCATTTGGCTAAACCACAAACAACCCACAGGAAGTTGGCTGTATGGTTACCCAGTACTAGTAAGTGTATGTCACTAGTGTTATGAATGTTGTCGAGGCTTAAAATACATGGGAAAAGATACTTCAAATAAAAATAAAACTGTAAAAATATGAATTAGGCCCATGTAACAGTAATATTTTTGCTTTTGATAAATGTCATTAACTGTATTACTCTTGTAAGAATGTCTGGTGTACAGTAAGCACTCAGTAAATTCTGCTGGACCAGGATCTACTTTGATTCTGTACCTAGTGCTGGGGCTAGTTTTAAACCTTAAGATCTACCATAACTTGAAAGAGACTGCTTGGGTTTGAATTCTGGCTCTGCCACTTCCTGTATAACTTTGGGCTAATTACTTAACCTCTCTCTGTACCTTAGTTTCCTCTTATGTAAAAAAAAAAAAAGACCCAAACAAAAACAAAAGTGATTAATTATAGTAAGTACCATAAAAAATTTAGTAAAGTGGACTTCATCAGAATTAAAAACTTTTGTTCCCTGAAAGACTAGTTAAGAAAATGAAAAGGCAAGATAGAGACTGGGAGAACATAGTTCCAAAATACGTATCTGATTAAGTGCTTGTCTTGCTGAGTACAACTCAATAAAAAGATACTACTGATTTTTAAACTGGGCAAAAGATTTGAACAGATATTTCACAAAAGAAAATATACAAATGTCCACTAAGCACAAGAAAATATACTCTCAACATCACTAGTTATCAGGGAAATGCAATTGAAAATCAAAATGCAATACCATTTCACAACCATATTAAAATGGCTAAAGTTTAATTAAAAGACTGATAATATTAAGGGCTGACAAGGATGTGAAAAACGACCTCTCAAGTATTACTGGTGAGAATGCAAAATGGTACAGCCACTGTGAAAAACAGTATGGTAGTATTTTATGAAGGTAAACGTATGTTTACCATATGACCAACAAGTCCAATCCCAGGTATTTACCCCAAAATAAATTTACCCAACACATCGACACAAAGACAAGTATGTGTATGCTCATTATGTTATTCATAATAACCCCAAATTAGAAACAACCCCAATGTCCAGTTTTTTGAATGGATGAACAAATTGTGGTGTTTCCATACTGTAAAACACTACTTGGCAACTCAACATGCATGAATCTCAAAATCATTATGCTAAGTGAAAGAAGTCGAACACCAAAGATGACATCTGATTCCACTTATATGAAATTCTGGAAAACACAAACTATAGTAACAGAACCAGATTAGCGACCGCATGGCCCAAGGTCCAGGAAGTGACAAAAGGACGTAAGAAAACTTTTTGGGGTGAGGAAATTTTCTATATGTTGATTGTGGTGGTGGTTACCCTTAAAATGGTAAATCTTGTTATATGTAAATAGTACCTCAAAAAAAAACCACCTCTAAGAGTCTTAGACACAAATGTTAATATGACTGTCACCTAATTATACTAAATAAATTGTACAAAGAGTCTAAAAAATAATAATAGGACTGGTGTGAGGATTAAATGTGATGACATATGTAAGGCCCTTAGCTTGGCATTCTAAGTACTTCAAAAAGTATTAGCTATTAGTCTTTCAAACATAAACTTTCCCCTTTTACCCCAACATGCTAACGACGGACTAAATTAACAGGTATTTTTACTAATAATCATGAGTCATCATGCATTTAATAAGGTTATATTAATGTTAAAGGTAGATTGCTGATATTTACTTCATTATGGTTTAATCTCAATAGTAAGAGATAAGTATAGGTATGTGAAAAATCTAAAATGACTGATTTGTTTCTCTTCTCAAATCTAGGGGAAGAATATAAGAAATAGGATTCTTATCTTCATAATTCCCAACCATGTTAGTCACATACCAAGAGCACCAAAAACAACTTCTTTGAAGTAGCCTTTTATCAGAAATCACCAGACCTTTCCAAGGGTAGGTGGGGAAGGGGTGAGGCTTTAGCGTTCTTGGACTTATATTAACTAACTTCTAACAAGCCATATGGTCCACAAAGTTCAATTTGATGTATGGGCTATTATTCTTCTTCCAAGATAAAAAAAAAATTATACTAAATTAACTGAAGACATTGAAAAGTATTTGTAAAGAAATCAGTAAAAATCACATTTAAGACTTGAAAATAGTGGTTCTCAATCTTTTTTCCTCAGGACCCCTTTACAGCTTAAAAATTAAAGACTGTAAGGAGCCTTTTTTTTTTTTGTATGTCTACTGATATTTACAATATTTAAAAAATTTAAGTCACTTAGAAATTTGTTTAAAAATAACAAGAACCTCATTTTATGTAAACATAAATTATTTTTATGGAACTATATTTTCCAAAACAAAAAATTAGTGAGAAGAGTGGCATTGTTTTACAATTTTACAAATGTAAAATGTGTCTGACTTAATAAAAAACAACCAGATTCTCATATCTACTTTTGAATTCATCTGTTGCAATTTTGGTTGAAGTATATGAAGATGAATAATTAGAAAAGGTAGGAGTATTTAAAAAAAAAAGGTAGGAAGGAGTATTTTAGTAGCCTAATATTCATAATTATCTGATACTACTTCGAAACTGGACAAGTGGTAGTTTCAATAAAGGTTAGCTGCAGTATGGAATGTGAAACCATATTAATGAACTTTTCATATTATATTACATTAAAATCCACTGGTCTAGCTTACACATCAAATGGATCTTTTTAGTCATGCATGATTTTGTAACATCTTGCATTGGTCACTGGGAAAATGTTGTTCACTGAGTTATATAATCTTCCAAATGTTACCACATTTCCTTGTATAATATTTAAAAAATCACATTCATTAATACCCACTGATCTCATCAGAAGTCTTAAGTTTTGGGAAGCTGTCCATCTCTGAGTGGCAGATACAAATTTTCCAGAACTGAAACTTTCACTTGAAAACTCAATGGTAACAAATATTGTCAGTTGTTTTCCTTTAAGTGACAGGCTCACTTCATTCATTTGCAAGAAAATATCTGCCAAATACGGAATAATCAAGTCTGAATAATCATAGCTTGCCCTTTCAAATAAAAATGGTGCTTCATGAAAAAATGTAGCTGGTTCAGCTCTCAACTCAAGCAAGTGCACAAGTGCCTTTCTTTGAGATGACCGTTGTACTTGGGTGTGCAGAAGTGCTCTATGTGTGCTTCCTGTTCTGCCACAAACATAAAAACAATGTGAAACTCAAGGATTAGGATTTAATAGCCCTAATGTCTTTTATACTTTATCAAGGACATTCTTAAGTGAAACTGGTCTTCCTTTTTTTTTCTTATTTAAACAGTGAGTGAGGGCAGTGAAGAATATACTACTGCTTGTATAATTTGGTGCCATTGCCTAGATCTGTGCTAAGGCAACAGCAATTTTTTTTTTTTTAACCAAAGCAGCTTTGGTACCATCAGTGCAAATGTCAACACAATGAAAAAAATAGATAACATATTAGTATTATTATGAAAGTAATTTTGACATTGTGGACCCCCTAAAATAATCTCAAGGACCCACCAGGGATCCACAGACCATAATGTGAGAACTACTGCTCTAAAATATGTTTACTTTTGTCAAGGATAGGATCCACTAGCTCCTATATAATATAAATAGCAATAAATTTAAGCAAATCACAACTCAAAAAAAAAAAAAAACCTTCTTACCTTTGCCAAGACTAAAGACAAATGGTTCGTTTCTATCATGACTGGAATCAAATTTCTTCCCATTTGACAATTTTCCTTTGTAATGGACATAAACTTTGTCTCCAATCATTGGTGTTTCCTCACTATTCCCCACTCTTCTGATAAGCTAGAAAAGACCAAATGTCAGGGAAAAGGAGGTGAAACATTTCACTTCTAATCAAGAGAATAAAAACGTCACACAGTCTATTCTGCATCACCCAGGCAAATCTACAAACTCTTTTACCTGTCCTTTCTAAAGGCTTCACTCCCAGTTCTCTCAATAATCCTCATTGTTAGCAAACTGTCCTGTGCTACTCTAAATCTTTCATGCTATATTTAATTTTATTGTTAATCACAATATGCTCTCAAAATAATTAACTAACAGTTCCTGCTTCATTGGTTTAATGCCCCATGCTTTCACACTAAAATCTCTCAAAACTCCATGTACAAACTGAATTAGACCAAAAAGATTAGCTTTCACAAACATTCAAAAAGAAGTCTGAAGCAAAGTTTCAAAGGTGAGATTTTTACTTCCCTCCTTTGCTAAAATCATTAGCTTGAGACTAGATTCCACTAGTTTGGTTTAATTTCAGAAAGCCCAATTTCCTGTTATAACAGGTTATTTCTTACTATCTGAAGAATATTCAATGTGTGAAAAAGAAGTATCACTGCACAGTTTGATATGATACCAAATAACTTGTCTTCTAGTAAAGGAAATGCCAAAAAAGCTCCATGTTGAAAAATATTTAGCTATCTTAAAATCCAGCATACTTAATTTTTGTTTTTGGCAGGCAAACCACTAATGCAGTTGGTCAGTTCTGGGAAAAAAATCAAATCCAGGCATATGGTGGTATAATTTATTCTGTCAATCACTTATGCCTAATTAATCATTTTGTTAGATAACAGAGATGGTACCTAAAGTCCAATAAACATCTTCTGGGGGGAGGGGTTTGAATTTTTTTCCAAAGAATTCAATTATTTACTTCTAAATTCTTTTTTTGAGCCATGTCCCCCCAGGCCCACCCTCATATCACCACATAAACACTGTGAACTTAGATTCTACAACTTTCTTCGTCTACAAAAACCCAGACATTCTTTAAAGGAAAAAAATGATTTCTGCAACTCCATAAGAAATCTGTCTGAACTAACCAATGAACTCAGTAAAGTTGCAGGATTGCAAAATCAACACACAGAAACCATTTCTATATGCTGACAACAAAATATTTGATAAAAATATAAAGAAAACAATCCCAGAAATGCAAAGCAAAACTACAATGAGGTAAATAAATACACATACACACAATGCAATATTATTCAGCTATAAAAGAGAATGAAATCTTGCCATTTGCTACAACATGGATAGACCTTAAGGGAATTATGCTAAGTGAAACAGATCAGATAAAGACAAATACTGTATGATCTCAGTTACATATGGAATCTAAAAAAAGAAAAGAAAAAAACAACTAAGTTCATAGATACAGAGAACATAAACAAATTGGTGATTACCAGAGATGAGAGTTTGAGAGGAGGGTGGGAAAAAATGGGTGGAGTCAGAAGATATAAACCTCCATTTGTAAAATAAGTCACGGATGTAATGTACAGTATGGTGCAATAGTCAGTAATATTGTATTGCATATTTGAAAACTGCTAACAGATCTAAAAAGCTCCCATCACAAGAAAAAAAATTACCTATGTATGGTGACAGATGTCAACTAGACTTATTGTGATGATCATTTCACAATATATGCAAATGTCAAATTGCTATGTTGTATACCTGAAACTAATATAACGTTATATGTCAATTATACCTCAATAAAAAAAAATTCCATTCAAAACAGCATCAACAGCTATCAAATAATTAGGAATAAATTTAACCAAGGAGGTTACAATGAAAACTATAAGATTCTTATGAAAGAAACTGAAAAAGGTAAAAATAAATGGAAATATATCCTATGTTCGTGGATCAGAAGAATTAAAAAAGTTAAAATGTCCATACTATGAAAGACATCTATAGATTTAATGCAATCCATATCAAAATTCACTATGGTATTTTTCACAGGAACAGAAAAAAAGCTAAAATGTGTACAGACCAAAAAGACCCCCAAAAGCCAAGGCAATCCTGAGAAAGAACAAAGCTGGAGGCATCACATTTCCTGATTTCAAATTATATTATTAAACTATTGTAATTAAAACAGAATGGTACTGCCATGAAAACAGGCACATAGACCCATGCAATAGAACTGAGAGCCCAGAAATGAATCCGAGCATATATAGTCAACTAATATTTGATAAGGGAGCCAAGAATACTCAATGAGGAACAGATAATCTCTTCAATAAATGGTGCAGGGAAAACTGAATAATTACATGCAGAAGAATAAAACTGGACACCTATCTTACACCGCTAATAAAAATTAACTCAAAATTGATTAAAGACTTAAATATGAGATCTGAAAATCTAAAACTCCTAGAAGAAAACAAGGGGAAAAAGCTTCTTGACATTGGTCTTGGTAAGAATTTTTTGGATATGACACCAAAAGCACAAGCAACAAAAGCAAAAATAAGTGGAACAGCAAACTAAAAAGCTTCTGCACAGCAAAAGAAACAATCACCACAGTAAAAAGGCATCCGGTGGAAAGGGAGAAATCTGTGCAAAAACATATCTCTGTGTGTGTGTGTGTGTGTGTGTGTGTGTGTGCATGAAAGAAGGAAATCATATTATTTGTTACAATACAGATGTACTCTGAGGGCATTATGCTAAGTGAAATAAGTCAGACTAAGAAAGACAAATGCTGTGTGACACTGCTTATGTGCGGAATCTAAAAAAGCTGAACTCACAGAGAGAGAATAAGGGGTGCCAGGGGCTAGAGGATGGGAGAAATGGAGAGAGATTGGTCAAAGGGTATAAACGTCCAAGTTATAAGACGAATAAATTCTAGGGATCTAATGTACAGCATGGTGACTAAGTTAACAGCACTGTATTACATACCTGAGAGTTGCTAAAAAAAAATAGCTCTTAAATGTTCTCACCACAAAAAAAGAAATTATTATTTGAGGTGATGGAGGGGTTAACTAACTCTACTGTGGTAATCATTTCAAAACATACAAGTGTATCAAATCATCACATTGTACACCTTCAACTTACATAATATTTCAATTATATCACAGTAAAGCTGGGAAAAATCATTATAATTTTAAAAATTAAATTAAGAGGTTTTTTTTAAAAAAAAAAAAGAATCACTACTGCCCTTCTATGACTCTAAGGGAAAAAGTTTCAAAAAAATTTAATCTGAAAGAAAGCACATGATATTCTAAAAGTTCTCATGCTCATGAACTGCATGCAGTATCTGGGAGCCTGAGCCTCACATGGAGATTCTGCTTTTCTAGGACTATAACCAAGTAACTGGGCATATGGGATGAATGGCTACCAGGGCATCAGAGAGCTGTTCACATCTGCACATGACACTACTGTATTACTTTAGGTTTCCCCAGCAAGGTGAATTTAGTGTCAAAATCTGGAGTTGTCCTGAGAATACAATCTAGTCTCAATTCATGTTAAAAATGTAAGCTCCACAAAGAAATTTTATCTTCCTAAGCTAGTTTCTGACTTCCCAGATCTGCCTTGGTCTTTAAAAAAAAACAACACACACACACACATACATATAAAATGGTTAATAAGAGAGTACTACAGGCATGGCACTGTGCTAAATGCTTTATGTAATCCTGATAACTCTCCGAGGTAGGCAGTATTATTATTCTAATTTTACAAATGAGGAAACTTCATCTCAGATAGGTTACTAAATTGCCCTAGGTCACACAGTTAATAGACCTATTTAATCTTAACCAAAGCCTCATGGTGAAATCTGAGGCTCTGGGCAGTGATAAATGACTTAAAGGGCTTATAACCTAAAAATGCTTCTTACAGGCCTAAAAATCTTGTTAGATTTACTCGCTAGAACAAAGCAGGACCTGAGGCAAGCTGGGGACTGTGTTCTCTGCACGGGTGCTCTGAAAAGATGAAAGAGAAGAACTTAAACAGAGGTAGGGAGATGCTGAGAACAGCCTACAGAATTTCCACTGTCTCAAGAGGCATCCTGGAGTCTGGGGTGAGGAACTCACATAGCTACAAGGTTGAGAAGCCCTCTGAATGAAGATATCATGATATATATACATCTATAGCACAGAGCCCTTTTTCTACAGGTATAAGTCTTCAAAGTTGGCTTGGCACATGGCAAGCAAACAGTAAAACATGTATATTCAGAAGAGATTCGGGTGCAGAAAACTTTCACATAAGCAAGATTATCCAAAACAAACTAAAAACTTATTTGCTGATGACATGAGGCAATAGTAAAACTCAGCTTAGTGGTAATATTTAGAATTCGTGAGATGATCTTCAGCAAAAAAAATTAAGTCAACTATACAAACCTTGAATGTATAACAGTGTAGGAGAAAGAACAACTTAACATGACCAAAGCCATTTAACCTTTCTTTATTATATGGAATAATAACACATATATGTCTTTCATATATAAATGGAAGAATCAAAAGGTGCTCTGATTGTCTCATAAGACAATTGTGAGATACAAATAAAAAACACACGTAAAAATGCTTAATTACAGAGTGAAAAAAGTGTTTTAAGGAGGAAAGTTGATTCAAAAAGTGAGATATGTCCTCTGATGAAACCACACAAAAAAATCTTCACTGTATACACTAACACTGTATGTAAAAAACAAATCTTTTTGAACTTTAAATTAGCTTTTCTTTTTCCTTTAAAAAATTTTTTGTTGAGTTATTATTAGCCAGCTTTAATATACTTAAATAACACCTGTTTGTACGTTCTGCGAATAGGGAGACACAGTCTTCTGGAGTCAGACATAACTAGGACCTGACCCCAGATCTGCATGTACTAAGAAATATGATTTGAGGCAAGTTAATTTACCTAGCCGGGTCTCAATTTTACCATCTATAACCTGGATTAAAAACAAACCTCAAATCTAAAAACAAAAACAAAAACAAAACCCAAAACCCAAACCTCGTTATGAAGATGAACCGAGTATTTGGCACTTAGTAAGCCTCAATAAACATTATCCATCGCCACCTTCAGCCAAAAAAGCAAAAAAAGATTTTTATAGACAATCTTTCCAGATAGCAGATTTTCCTACACATCATTCACCCTTGTGGTCTCACCTTTAATACTCCTCTATCTTTTTTGGAGGTAATATCCTCTCCCTGTTCAGCAACAGCTGCTGCTGGGTTTTCTCCATTGTTCTTGGCACCTTCATCAGTAGTCATTGTCTTTTACAAGTAGAAACCTGCTGAGAAGAAACATATTTCAGCTAGGAAAAAACCACTTCTTTATGCATCTTAAAATGCCCACAGGAACTGAGCTTTACCTGACCCAAGATTTCTTAGATCCAATAAGGTTAAACACTGAAAACAAAAATAAAAACATTTGCTATGAGCATGTACTGATGTCATGAGGCATGTAAATAAAACATCATCCAACTCTTCAATTTCCCTTCCAGCTCTGGTCCCAAATTAGAGAGCAGTACAAGTCAGGTTTGGTAGTGATTATATTCCTTAGCATGATTACACATTGAGAAGTAGTCCTTTCAGAACTCTGAAAACATCCTCTCCTTACAGCCATATTCTTGACAGAGAATTAAGAACTTATCAGGAAATATGATGAAGGAATGACAATATATCACAGTGGTAAACAGAACAGCCTTCAGAAACTGACAGACCCCAGACTGAGTCCTAGCTCCAGCAATAACTATTTGACATTTGCAAACTTACTTAACTTCACTGAGCCTCAGTTTCACGTCCATAAAATGGAAATAGTGTCTGTTCATAGTTACTGTGAGGCACTAATGACATTACAGATGTTAAGAGATTAGCAGAGTCCTAACTTAAAAATGTAAACACTTACCGTGATTATTATTGGGTCTTCTACAGAGCCACATTTTTCATTTTCTGCTCAAAAGACCTACAGAATGAGGTTCTCCTCTACAAAAGCACTCAAGGTCCTCCACAACATGATCCTAACCTATCTTTCAGGTCAAGCTTCCACTACTTTCTTTTACTACCTTTCATGCAGCTCATGCTCTAGCCAAACCAGAACAAGGTCCCATAACAAGCCCCGTGCTTTCCCATCTCCATGCTTTTGGTCACTCTTTTCCTTCCCCATTTGTCCCACTCAAATGCTACTTCCATCGTACCAACCTTGACCTTGTACTTGGCAGCTGACTACCCTTTTCTGTACTTCCTTAGCTCTTCCTTGACTTGTTACCTATAATATATTCATAAGAAGACACACATGGATTTTAAAGACCCTTGAGAACAGGGTCATGCTTTGTTCATATTTACATTCTCTAGAATGCCTCTATCTTTGAGACTACTAAGACAGAAATGGCAAGGAATTTGGAGTTCCTACGGCATCTGATGTTGCCTACTTTAGCTTCTCAAAGCCGTTTTCCTCTACCTGTGTAATTAGAATAAAAATGTATCCTTTTCACAGTGATCTTCTAGATTAAATGGTATAATTTGATGTTAAAAGTATACTACTACAATGTTAGTGCTTATTAATATTACCATTCACCCAAATGACAGACACTTTTTTTCATGCAAGGCAAATACCAACAGGCTAATCAACAGACAAAATAAAACACACCTCATTGGCTGCTACCATGATGAATTCTATCCTGCTCTCCTGGTGAGCAGGGAAAGTCCAGACTTAATCACTTCTACAGCTATTCAAATTAGGTTAATAATGGACATAAGGCTCCCTAAGTCACCTGCGGGACCCTCTGGCCTACACGGTCAAAAAGAGCTATTTTACAGCTGTGAAAAATGTCTTACTGATACAACTGATAATTAGACAACTAAATATAGTTGATAAAGTGTTTTAATTAATTTCCAAATGACCTAAATTTACTTCAGTCTAAACAAAGACACAAATGAAACTTTGCTGTGCCCAAAAATCTTCAAAGAGAACACTAAAAACCAGGGGCTAAGCCCCTTTGCTTTATCTTCTAGTACAGTTTATGCCAAACACAAAAGATCCAAATGCTTGGCTCAGGATAAGGGAAAGGCCAGAACAAAGCATTCTCAAATGAACAACAAAAGTTAGGTACGCAGTTGTTGTATGTGATTCCGGGCAAGACAATTAGGAAAATCAGATGAACAGAGCTGGCTCCCAGCTTCTGGTAGCCTACACTGAGACTTCTCTGATGCATAGAAACTTGCAGAAGGCACCTCAAAAACAGGAGAAAAAGATCTTTTAAATATTTTGGACATCATGGACCAATACATCCTTGGAAAAATATATGTACACAAAAAAATTTCCCGTGGCTTTACATATACACTGGCAACCATCAATAAACCCCTAGGGAAATCTTGGATTAAATCAACAAATTAAAACCACCAGGTGAAAGGTTATTAGGAAACAGGACAGTCACACAATGTCAAAACATGAACCTACAGATTATCTATTATTAAAAAAAGGGAAAAGGGCCTTCCAATGAAGTGATTTGACAAATCTCCCCTTAACACAAGTGATCTACATCATGACCAAACTCTGCATCACCTATATTAACACAAAGTGATATCACTGTGCCTCCTGATGTGATGTAATGGGAGGTATGCATGTGGTATTCCTACCAAAAAAAAAAAAATTAACCTGAAACCAATCAAGAAGAAAAGACAAAACTAAGTTGTGGAATATTCTACAAGACAAGTGGCCTAGACTCCTCAAAACAATAATGCTATGAAAGACCAAAAAAAAAAAAAAAAAAAAAGAAAAGAAAAGAAAAGAAAATGGGCCTGCTCTGCTTTAAAAAAGACTAAAGAGACACAACAATCAACTGCAGTGTGTGATCCTTGGCTGGATCCTGGATTAGGGGGACAAATTTTATGGAAGTCCATTTTGGAGAGAATTAGAAAAATCTGGAAAAACAGACCGCACATTACCTTATTATTACTGTAAAATGTTAGCTTTCTGGGGTGGGCTGTTGTATTGTGGTTTTATACACAATAATATCCTCATTCTTTGGAAACACAAGCTGAAGTATTTAGGGGTGAAGTGCCACGATGTGTGCCATTTAGTTTCAAATCATTTGAGAGTGTGCATGCATGAACACAAGTATCACAAAAAAACTAAAAACAAAGCATTCAGAAATCATGACTACAACACATCCAAAGGCAATGCCTTTCTTTCAAATGTTCATCATTTAAGGATCAACTAAATTTTTAAATGAAAATACTGTCAATCAAAAAACAAATTCTTTTGATTCCAACCCTCCCCCACTGGAAACAATGGCTTGCTAAAATTCAAAAAAATAGGGAACTTGTATAAGTTGATCTGCAAGTTTTGTAAATCTCATTTAGTAAAGAATTTGCTCTTCATTTTTGGTTTCTACCACTTCAAGGGATATAAGTAATCTCTGTAATTTCTGAATGGTTCTGAATAGTATGAAGCCCATATAAGGTAGTATGAATAATTAAAACAAAAAATAAACATGACACAAACTTTTTGAACTTTCAAAGAAAGATAAATCTAAAAGAATAAAGAAATAAACTGAACTTTCCAGGTATCTTCCTTTAATTCCACTTATGCCATCTGGGGTATAGATTTTTGTAAGCAGACAAAACAAACACGTTAAAGAAACTTCTTTCTTGATCTAGCGTTAGTTAAAAAAAAAAAAAAAGGCAGTAAGAACAGACAATTCCTAAAAACCTATAAGACACTGAGAAAGTTTCACTTTTTTCATAAGAGCCTTTTCTTCTTTCCCAGTCTAGGTTTATTCTGGATTTAAAATCACTATGTAGCTATGGATATTAATCTATGATAAAGCTCACTGTTCCAAACTGTCCAAAGGGGGAAATTGTTGCCCAGTGCCTCAGAGAGGGAACACACAGTTCGTTCTGTTATGGACATGCCAGATAAGCACGCACTCTCCAAAGTGCCAGTCAGCAAACACCTGAGATGTCACAGAAAAATGAGACGCTTAAAATTTCATCAACAGTATACGGAAAACTTCAGTTAACATAACTAAATTGTCATATTCCCCCAAATAAGAAGTCACTTTAAAGCTTTACCCACTAATTCTCCATGTATATTACTTACTGTGTAGTTGTTCCCTTTCTTCAAATACAGATATCTTGTATCACAGATTATCCTACTTACAGGAGAGCTTCCAGAAAGAAGACAAAAAAGAATATAGGAACTGGCTACTTTGCTGGAAGCACAGGAAATTACAGCAGCATTCTTTCTAAGTATACTCGTGCCTGGACCACAAAGGCTTTCAGTCTCCTAAAACTAAAACATGAAAGAAAACACAAGGAAGGAGGTATATCTAAGGCTTGTAACTTAATACAGGGTAAGTGCAACTAAATTTGAAAATACCCATGTAAGGATGAACTGGAAAGCTCTCATTAAATTTCTTTTTTAAATTTTTTATATTAAAATTTTTTTTTATTTTGGGTTTTTTTTGGGGGGGTGGATTTGGTTTATTTATTTAATTTTTTTTTGTTATTTATTTAATTTTTAAATGGAGTTACTGGGGATTGAAGCCAGGACCTCCTACATGCTAAGCATGTACTCTACCACTGAGCTATACCCTCTCCTTCATTTACTTTCAACCCTAGGCCTCCCTCAAACATTTAAGTCCAGTTAACACAAGAGCATCAGAAGTAGTTATCTACTTGTAGACAAGACATAATGTATGAGGGAGAGAAATACGCATGCAGAGGAAATGAGATCAAATATTGAGAGACAATACACCTATATGAAACTGCACACTACATTTATTCACCTGCTTTCCCTCAGTTAATTTCCCTCCTCCACACTAGAGCAGGGAACGGGGAGATGACGAACAATGCTCTTATACATCTCACACATTCATTTTTTTCTCCTTTAAAAGATACACAAATATCTCGTGTGAGAGAAGATACACAATAGCCAGTAAGCACATGGAAATGTGTTTGATGTCATTAGTCATAAGGGAAATGCAAATCAAAATCACAATGAGATACCACTTCACACCCAGGAGGGTGGCTGTTATCAAAAAAGGAAAAATGACAAGAGTTGGTGAAGACGTAGAGAAATGGAAACTTCATGCATTGCTGGTGGTCATGTGAAAGGGCACAGCGTCTGTGGAAAAGTTTACTGGTTCCTCAAAATATTAAACACAGAATTACCATATGGTCCAGCTAGTCCACTCCTAGGTATGTATCCAAAGAAGAGAAAGCAGAGATGCAAACAGATACCTGCATACCAATGTTCAAAGCAGTATTATTCACAATAGCCAAAGATGGGGAAAAATCCAATTGTCAATAAACAAAAT